CTTGTACCTTAGAAGCAGGTTTATGCTGTGATGGGCCAAGGAAAAAATTTGGAATGCAGTTTTTGCGGTACTGATAACCATTCCATAGTAGTTTAAGTGCACAATTTAGGGCACTTTCTGTCCTCTCCTGAGCGTTTATCTTATTGGCGAAATACCATAGAACAAGACCATCTCCATTAATTAAGCACTTGATTTCCGTGACTTTCTGTACCAATTCGGCTATGTCATTGATGAAGGCAAAGAGTGCAGCTTGTGACAGCTCCCTGTGGAAAGCCTGTAGGCAAAAGATTGGATTTTGATAGAGCATTTCCGTATCTGAGAGATCGGATTTTGATAGAGCATTTCCATATCTGACTTAACTGCATCTGATAGATCATTTCCATATCTGACTTTACATGATCTTTGTACATTTCCATATCTAAAAGATTGGATTTTGATAGGGCATTTCCATATCTGACTTTACTTGATCTTTTCATTGAATGCTTTTATCCAGTTTAGCATGTTATTCTTAATAAGGATTTCCGTATCTGACTTTACACGATCTTTGTCTAATGAATCTTATCCAGTTTAGCATGTTATGCTTAATACCAATCTATATAATCAGTTTAGCATATTATGCTTAATATCAATCTTTGCCAATTTAGAATTAGCTTCTTTTTCCATACTAAGTCATATGCTGATTTGAAATCGACGAAAACAGCCGTAAGGGTATTTCTTGCATCAAGGGCAACTTTGATGTGTTGGGAGAAAGCGGCCACTTGTTGGTTCGTTGATCTTTGTGGCCTAAAACCTGCTTGTTCACTCCTAAGAAAATTGTTGGTCTCAGGGATCCAGGTCAACCTCATGTTAACTATTCTTTCCATAAGTTAATCCAGCAAGCTTGTCAGAGTTGCTTGGGTCTTTGCCTTTTTTTCTTACTGGTATTACTATTGCAAATTCTCATTGATTAAGTACTAGACTGGACTCCCAGATTTTGTTGAAAGCGTCAGCATGGTTTCCTTGGCTTTTGGACCCATTCTAATTAGAAATGCCGGATAAATACCGTCTTCGCCAAGAGACCTTTAGCACTTTAGCTGTTATATCGCAGCATTATGTTTGCAAAGTCTGAATGATTCAGTTAGTGCATGATTTGGTGTTGCTTTGTCTTCCTTAATTTCACCAAACGGTCTTGCTTGTATCTTTAAATCTCTTAATGATTTTCTGGCAAAAGGCTTTTCCTTTGCTCGTGGGTATAGAACTTTGCATAGCATTTTGCTTTTTCGGATTCGGTGGTAAGCTGTTTGTTTTTTAAACGTATTGGATCTTTCTTGGGTCATTCTTTGTTGTTTTGGAGGTCTCCCAGGACTTTGAAAGTGCGTCGTCTATCACCTTTATAGTTGATATTCGAGATGAATTTGCCGAAGGAAGTCCGTTAAGCTTGTAAGATGGCTTGCCTTAGGACAGCTGATTGTTGTCTCCAGGCTTGTACGTCTTCCGTTCTTCCAGTCTGATCAGGTGGATAGTTTGAGACATAATTTCAGTTTAAATATCCATTGTTTGGCAGATATTGTTTTATAGCTTGCAGTCCAAATCTTGTCAGTATTGTTATGAAAAACTGAGTGTACGCTTGGCAAATTTAGTAGTACGTTTAAATAACCATAATTGTGCATATGTAAGGTCCATTCACTAGTAATAGGAATTCATCTAACATTTACCTCATTTGTGGTCTATTGTAAACAGTTTGAATTAAGTTAATAGCTGAATTTATTTTTGAATAGAATGATCAGAATAAATTTCAAAGTTGGTAGATTCAATAAATTTGGTAAAAAAGATGTTTTGGATGTTAAAATATATACCTGTCCTGATTCGCATTTAGGACAGAAATCAATAAAGGAGATCAATCAAACTT